CTTGTTCCTCGATTCCGAGGTTGCGAGCCGCGACAATCCCGTCACTGTCAAGGATGACAAGTTCTGGAATCACAAATCGCTAACTCTCCTTCTATTTGGCTCTAGTCTCTATCCTTTCTTCGATCCGGAAACAAAATGGTGATGATGCCAACCCCCAGACCCTCGACTCCATTACTCCCAAGATTCGCGAAGAACGAGCTGCCGCGCAGTCCCAAAAGAGCGAGTCTGCTGCTTTGGAAGGTGGTCTGAACCCCCAGGAGCTCCAGGAGGAGGCTGGCCAGGAGGCTGCGTTCAACCCGGAGACCGGCGAGATCAACTGGGACTGCCCTTGTCTTGGAGGCATGGCCCACGGGCCTTGCGGGGAGGACTTCAAGGCTGCATTCAGCTGCTTTGTCTTCTCCGAGGAAGAGCCCAAGGGCATCGACTGCATTGATAAATTCAAGTATGTTTTCTATCGTTTTTGAGGCTGCTGGTCCCGTGCTAACAATTTTTGCAGGGCAATGCAAGATTGCTTCCGCCAATACCCCGAAGTCTACGGCGCCGAGCTAGAGGACGACGATGAGCCCCAACCCCAGTCCGATGCTCCCGCCCCCTCCGATGCTCCAGCCCCCTCCGATGTTACCCCCACTGCTGCCGAGGTCGATGCGTCTTCGCACCCCACTGAGAAGCAGACCCGCGCCAAGGAAGTCCACACCCAGGTGAAAACCGAAAGCGCTGCTGCAGGCGAGCACGCCGAGGGAGACTCCCTCATCCCCAAGGCTGCGCATGACACCGAGGAGAAGAACCAGGCCAACAACGCTTAGAGCTGACCTTTCGAATCTCTGCATCCTGTTTGACGCCACCCTCCCCTAGAGACAAGCCTACTACTTGACATCTTTTGTAATGCACATCAGGGACTGGGATTGGAGTTGTGTATTATATAGACCTTTCTGCTATCTCTCCATCTCACGTTTTGCCTTTGATGCATTTTCCCCTCCGTGATCTTTCAGCATATCCATTCCCCGGTCTGCGCTCCTCTGTGTTTTTCCTGATACTTCCCCTGTCAATGTGTAACTTATTGTACCGATATGCTTCACGCTCTTGTCCCTTGGGCAAATGAAAGAAAGAGGGGAAATCGAATAGACTTGTTGCATCATAACTGGTAGTTATCCAGTATAGACCTTATACACAAAGAATCCAACAAAGAACGTTTCCAGTCCTGCCGATTGATTTTTCTACAACGATTGTCACCTATTGCAACCATTCTTGCCTAGCCATAAATTGATGCAATCTTCGACTAACACTCGCCCCATTCCATAATTCTTCATCTCCTTCGTTTCTCTTTTCCGGCATCCCCACCTGCTCCAATGCAAATGAAGCTGCAACAGATCCATAACAAGCCGCTTCAGGGATATTACCCATTCTTTGGAGATATCCAATGGCATAGCCTCCCAGAAATGCATTTCCAGCTCCAGTCGGATCAACCACTTTGGAAGCCTGCTCTTCTCCCATGTCTGCTGTGTAAAATGGAGGTAGCCATTGAGAGGTGATGTTACGCGATTGAACTAAGCAACCATTTTCACCAGCTCGAATAACCACCGCTCCTTTTCCTTCTGGGCCGACTCCGCTAGTTAGGAACTTCGAACCCAACCTTTCGATCTCGGATCTATTGAATGATGCAACCGGGGAAGTTTCGAAGAATGCCGTCAGCTCTAAGTGGTTTGGAGTAAACACGTCGACTAAAGCGGCGGTTTCTAGACAGCCTTCAAGGTTCTCCGGTTTGCATGAAAGAGGTGCCGGCTCCCAGATTATCAAAGGTCGATCTGGTATACCCTCCTGCTCTCGAAGAGAGAGAAGGGTTAGAGCGAGTGTTTTCATATCTTGCGGACTAGCGAGATAATGATACACCTTCGACGTTAGCAAGGCGGTGCCCTGTAACTTGCTTCCTTGAACTGCTAGAACCGGCGTGGTGTACTTGAAACTCTTGGCTAGAAGATAAGTTAACTCATTTATATATGTTTCGTGTGCTGGTTCGGTGAGCATGGATTAAGAGTTTCGATTCATAAAAAGGTGGCAGGGATAAGGGATTTCGTACGTCCGAATGTAGTATCTTGGTACTCTAGTAAGCCTCGAGTCGAGGGCCTATCTGATTCATTTTCTATAAGTAGGCTTGTATCCCAGCTATGCAAGTGTTCTGCGATAGTGTCTGGAAAGTCATTTCCAACATGGATCGGCCAAGCCAAGGAGCGGCTGAGCGGCGAGGGTAGAAACAACCGAGCACCGAGAGTGGCTAGAAGAAATAGGTCAATTAGAAATCTAGTTGCTTGACATGGTGCAGGCAAAACAGACCATAAGCTCCGGACCCTCCTAGTACATTGGTTAAAGGTTTCCGGTTGGGAAAACGGATCTCGTCAAGCACCACCAAGCCAAAGCTTGCGAAAGAAATGCTGTCCATGTGAAAATGTGTCCCCAAACCCACTTTTCTGAGAGAATAAATCGATATTAAAAGTCTGTTTGGTTTTCTGGGGTCGAAACGAACAGAGACCGGTGGGACCGGGCGGCTCAGCCGTCGTGTTCAGCCCGCCCTGTGGGTACGTACAAGTTTCAGTCCACTGTCTCATGAGGGAAAAAGTGTATGATCCTGCGCACTTCTTTTGGAGAACACATTTGTTTTTACTAATTAATTAGCTTAGATGATATACACTTTGATAATCTTCATTTGACATCTAAGTAAATCATTTTATTTTTGTGATTATATCTTGCCCTAGATTCGAGTGCTCTTGAGGTTCAGAAACTTCACACACACACACACACACACACATATATATATATAGTACTTTGTTGATCCTTCTAAGGTTTTTCTCCCTCTAAACTTTCAAGCCAACTCACATTCGATCAAGCTCTCAGCACTATCCAGCGGCGTCCAGATTTTAGTAATTTTGAGACCAACTGGCTCAATAACTTGATGCCACTGCTGTTCAGTCCGCTCCTTAGCACCAAGATCCACCATCATTATCAAGTCCAGAGAAGTAGCCTGCCAGTGGGCCCCGGTATTGGGAATAACGTTCTCGTTGATCAGTAATTTGCTGTATCCCGGTGTCATCGCAGCAACCAATTGTGACAGGATTTTCTGGCATGTCTCGTCATTCCAGTCATGCAGGACGGAGTGCAAGAAATATACGCGCGCGCCTAAGTAGACATATATCAGCTACTGGTTAATGTTCGATGTGCGTCAATTTACTTACCCTTGATGGGTTGTTCCTGGTAGAAGTCGTGGGCCATGGGCTTAATTGCTGCGTTCAACGACTTGATATCTTCCAAAACGTGTGGCTGGTCTTGCAGGATCAATTTGCCGGGTGTGTTTGGCCACTTCGATATGAACTCCTCCAGATCATGCCCTTTGTTTCCGCCAACGTCCACGATGAAAACATCTTCTTCGCCCGTCTTTGCTCCCTCGATAAGAGTTTCTACCGGGTAGAAGTTCCCATCCATCCAGCTGGGTCTACCTTGGTGGTAGGCCGACATGAGATTGTTGAATTGGGCGCCGAGTTCAGGATAGTCGGGGTTCTTGCCGTTAAGGAATTCGAAGAAGTGATAGTCGGTTTTAAATCCTAGGGTAAACGGACAGTCTGTTCCTTCGGTAGGACTTCGATAATCGTTTTTCCTGAGCCAGGCGGGCAGCGCATTGATTGCTGGAAGGGTGCATGCATTACTGCGGGCGAAACACGAAATCAGTAAACCGATTTGGATGAGGCGGAGATCCACGGATGGAACTACTTACATGCACGGCCAAGCATCATTGTACCGCTTAATAGCGAGTGTCGTGGTTAGCCCGTTGCGGCCATACTCATCCATACCAGTCTCAACAAAGACCCCCATTGTGGCGAGATGCTTCATGATACGACCTTCACAATAATGAGCGTCATGATTATCTGACTTGGACATTGTCACTGACCGAGAAGTTCGGGTTCCGCGCCTGTTGTTGCTGCGAGCTCTGCCACGGTTTTAGGCTTGTCCGTCTGCGCTAATATGAAGAAGATTCCCAGATCGATACAAGTTTCAATGCCAGCAAACGCTGTGGGCTATTACACAGAAACAACCAAATAAGCATTCTCAATTCCTGAATCAAGGTCTTCTTTGCTCTGACGCACCTGGGCCCAGCAGTATCGCAGCATGGTCTCCTGGGGCGTTTCCATTGCCTGTACGAGAGACCGGGCTGTCTCTAGAAGCTTTAGGCGCGCATCACCATCGCCATTGCTGTAAGCCTGGGAGTAAGATTCAACTTCCTTTTGCAAATGCGCAAGTTTCTCAGGGGCGCTGGGTGCAGTGGCAACTTGAGGATCAATAATGGCTACACCATAGCCATTAGTTGCGGATCCGTTTGATGCATCGTTGACTGTCATTTTGAAAATTTGTGAACTTGACCTTTCACGGAGATGAAATGGCAAAATTAGAACTGAAAAATGGACTATCTTCAACTTCTGGCTATACAAGGGGGATTACGATTCATCTTAAGCGATTGCGATTGCGATTGTTTGAGTATGGGTTCCACTATGGAGCACCAAAAACTTGATAACTAGCATCTCATGCCTACAACATAGTTAATAATGAGACAAAATGCTACAGACTAACGCTATAAAAGGATCATTCCGTTATTCCGTTATTCCGTTATGTGTTTATTGAATTCTTTCATGTATTCGGTCCAGTTCGAGGGGGCGAAGAAATGGAGTCAAATCGACAAAATCACTTATTGGTCGATAATCGGGGATGATCAGCCCATGTCTAGTTATTACCACATACGGGTCGGGGATACGGATGAAAATGTGTATGAGGTGCTGGGATCAGCACGCTAAAACTACACAGAAGTCTCGCAGGATTGTGATGCCTGTCCGTAATTTACGCTAGGGAATAATCCCATTTTTTGGTATTTCTTTTTTTGCCACTCAAAAGATCCTCGCCTCCTTTGGATCTTATAAAGATGTTAGGCACTACGATTGTCTTGAGATAGACCATCCCCCGGTATGGCGGATTCGATCATGGATGCCCCCAAAATGGGCAACAAAGGCCCGAAAATGATGGCGGTGATGTGGTCAATGACAACTCTTGCCACGTTTCTCGTTATCGCTCGTTTATGTGTCCGACAACGAATGTTACGCAACTTCGGGTTCGATGACTGGTTGATCGGAGCATCTATGGTGATTATCCCATCTGTTTTGCATATCGCATACTCCCGGTCTAGCATTTCTGACATCTGCGACTGCTTCAGATCTTCGGTCTAACTTACGTTGCAACTACGACAGTCTCAGTGGCTTACGGATATGGGCAACACAAGATGAATCTTAAACCTAGGTCCGCTGAGCTCGCCCTCATGTGGAATATGATCTCGTTCATTTTCGGAATTATATCCTTCGTAATACCGAAGCTTGCGGTTGCTGCACTGCTCCACCGAATACTGAACCCAAACCTTACCCAACGTATAATAGTGTGGGGTCTTGTCAGCTTGGTTGCTGTCATTGCCCTTGTCAACATCCTGATCTATGTTACCATGTGTGATCCACCACAGGCACTTTGGAAGAGCTCGATGATATTGAACGGGGAGGCGAAGTGCAGGGATATTTGGATTCTTATAAACTATGCCACATTCAATGGAGGTGAGAGGTGTTCGATGGGTCTCGTTATTCCCGTGACAGTGACTGATTACCGCCATGCATGGACAGCCTTCTCTGCATTTGTCGACCTTTTCCTCGCAATTTATCCCGGGGTCGTTCTATTCAAGCTTCAAATATCATTACGCAAAAAGATTGCTCTGACTGCTGCGCTTGGTCTGGGCTCAATGTATGGAAATCTAGCAAATGATCCCTTCAAGTGCCTCGAAGCTAACAAGTGCGGTCAATCCCAGTGCGGCTGCAACTGCAATGGTCAAATGCACTCAGATCAAAGGTCTGGCTGACCAGACAGATCCAACATGTTAGTTCTACTTTCTGAATTTGATCATAACCTGCTTTCAAATGCTAATGCTGCTCCGTGAATTAGTTAGCACTGTATCTCTTGTGGTTTGGACAAAGTAAGACATTGCATCTTCTAGGCATGTTGCTATGATACTAACAAACCCCCAGTGTCGAAGCCAATGTCGTTGTCATTGCTGCCTGCATACCAACATTACAACCGGTGCTCGAACTTATTCTGAGAAAACTGAAACTCGTTTCGACATCTAAGTGTCACTCCAAGCCATCATCTTATGCGCAGCACAAAGTATACGACAATCAACCGAGCTCCCGGACTTACGTGTCAAAAAAAGAAAGAACAATCTCATTGCACAGAAAGGAGAGCCAGGAAAGTATTCTAGATGACTTGGAGCAATACCAAATACGGCGCACAGATGAGGTTCACGTTGAATATGAGATGCAACGACCGAAATAGGCTACCGACTACCTAAATGTACAATATACTCAAAATAATCAAATAACATAGAAATCGGATTATGAAGATGATGGTTGGTTTGGATATCAACTTTATATGCACTTTTCATAAGCTATTACCTATATATAATCTAGCAACAGAACCTCGGAACACCACTACGAATGTTTCACCGCAAACGACCATAAAAATGAGTTGATAACTACATAGGTCCATCGCAGCTCCTGATAAAGACATTTACAGGACCCTCAGATCTTAAAATGATAAGGGGCTTGATAGTAAACTATTACTAACGTAATTATTATATATAAGAATAGTCGGCCGCCTATACGAGCTGGTCATGTCTTTTTGGTAGTCCTTTTAGGTCTTTTTCTCTAGGTATATTCTCCTTCTCAAGTATATTTAAAGTAGATAATAAAAAAGGCCGAAACAAATTGATTGAGTCCATAAAACGAAAGGATTCCCCACTCTATGTATGACGCTCACACGGCCAATGCTTCATCATAACTGACTAACTCTAGCTCGGGATCTGGCTCCGGGTGAGGGCTGGGCCGGGGGCTCGGGGTGTGCGAGGTGCATCTCAGATGCCATAGTAAATTAAATTAGCACGCATATAAAAGAGAGTGAGAGAGAGAGAGTAGTTGAGAAAGGAAGAATATAGTATTCAACAGATTGACTAAAATACAGGTCGAATACAGAGGAATTAGGACAAACTATATGCATCTCCACACCGCTTTTTTAGTGCTGGCTGAATTTTACTGGGGTACAACATAGACTGTTGCAGGTTAGAATGTCAATCTCAATATAGGCCAATGACGACACACCTGGGTTGAAAATTGGCGGATACTCGAAATTAGCTGGTCATATAAGCGAAAATCAGGGTATCCCCGAGGTATTTTCTGAGTATCCCCGAGCTGGTGGCCCGTCTCACAAACCAGTGGAGATCACACTTTGTGTTCTAGCTCCTAGTGTGGATGCACAATGAAACACACTGTGAGTTATTTCGGGGCTCTCCATGACGAGTACAAGGTAGTTACGTGGCAGCCGCTTTCCCAGCATCTACAACCTTCGTAGCGGAAATGATAATGAACACACAGAGAGAGTAAGTGGGATCTCTGGGGTTTAAATAATCAACACCGAAAAACTAACCGTGGATGCTAATAACGTAATGGGCGCTTAGGGTTAAACTTTAGAGAAAGTAACAAAGATATGGAAAGGGGTGGTACTAATAAATGAGGGAGCAGCGAAAGACATAAACAATAAACATTCGTAGACATCATCTTGACAACGAACCAGTTGGCGCTTTGGAGTATTGCCACGATGCAGCGAGATCCTTGCATGCTAGTCCGTTCGCACTCTCTGTGTCCGGGATGCTACTGTATTAGTGCATGACAATAATACCCTCCTTGCGGCACGCCGACGTCAAGGTTGCCGTAAGCCATGCTCTCTCTGTGCTGCTACGCATGTGTGGCATTGGGAATCAAGAAGGAAATGGACCGGATAGAGGCTAGAGACGCGACGAGTTTGAAGGATATGAGCTTCTTGAGCGGGTTTGGATACTTGATATAGATGTCGACAATAATGGAGCCCCTACTTTAGATATTCTTCGCCTACCAAGACTCTTTCTCGGTTCACCACCACTACGGACGACGAAGTGTGGCTCGAGACCTTAGCTCTATGGCTATTACTGCCGGTGAAAGATTACCGATGTGGGTATTTACTATTCGCCCCCTTTCATAGCTAAGGACTCGTGTGCCGGGGCGGCAGGGCTCCGGGGGTGAATCTATGTTAAAGGTATTAGTAGTTATTATTGTGCAACTATGTTGTATGTCCATTAGGAATCGACTCCTTACCGACCTCATAGTATAGGATGTGTTTTTTACCCGATCTATAAGAACCTGCAACCCGAGTCGCGTCGACCTTCGCATACTAGCCGGATAAGTGATATCAAAAAGTTGGGTTGGAAATTATTGATCCATTTAGATCTGTGATAATATTCGCTCCCATAGAAAAGAAGGTACGCGGTAGCGCTTATTAAAGGTTCTATACATATAATAAATCTAATACACCCACTGCATCAAAAGTCCGTACACCGAGTGATAGGCAACTCTAGACCTCCAAACCTGACAACCTGAGTCGCGAAATGCAACCCATTCACCAACAACAAGGTGGTCGCCCATCATTCTAAAAACACCATTGAGATGCTGACTCCTATTCAGACATGTCAAAAATCTGCAGATGATCATGCAGCGCCACCAGCCGCTTTCTTCATCTCATCACTGTGGAGCTTCTTCCAGCTGCCAAAGAAGCCAATGACGGTGGCAATACCAAAGGCGGCAATAGTAATTGCAAAGACAGCTTTCAGACCAACCATGTAGGCATCGATGATGACGGAAACTTGTGAGTCTGTAAAAGCTTCGCGGATTTGAGTTGCACCGGTCGCAGTAACTACCGCCGGGTCGATCTCGGGGAGTTTTATGGCAATTGTTTGAATCAGCTGGTTGTTGAAGGCGCACTGTGCTGCTGCGAGAAAGAAAGCTCCACCAACGGTCATGAAGTCTAGCACTACTGTTAGGAGAAAACTGGTGAAAGGTACAGTAAGTTCAGGACTCACAATTGACTATAGCTGTAGCCTGTGACATGTCTTCTGGTGACGCGTGGACTTGCGCGTTTGAAATGGCAGTCTGGAATGACCAGCCCGTGCTGAAGCCAACAATAATCTGATACCCAATCCACTTGCCAGTAGATGTTTCAGTATTAAAAGTATAGAACAGGCCACAGCCGATGGTTCCTAAAGCGCCACCTAAAACCCAGAACAGAGGTACAATGCGGATTTTGGATAGCGCGAATCCCTGTACGATGGCAGCGATGGTTAGCGGGATAATGAAGGCGAGCATCTTGACACCAGATCCGATTGGACTGCTGTTATAGACGCTTTGGAAATAGATCGGAAGATAGTAAAGGATGATGAAGTAGGCGCCGCCAAAGAAGAACATGAATATGGAGCCCACGGAAATGTAAGGTTTCATAAACTACGGCGATTTTGGCAATTAGTTCATATCAGGGCAGAATGGGGATTGCGTAATGGCTTACGAGACGTGGGACAATCATTGCACGTTCCTTCTGGTAAATTTCCCAAGCCACAAAGACCACAACGAGCACACAAAAGCCGACCAGCAGTCCTACAACTTGGCTGCTGTGCCAGGAATGTGTTTGTCCGCCATACTGAAGCGCAAGGATAAACGAAACGATCAATCCCATCATAAGAGCTGCACCGACGAGGTCCATTTGCAAGAGCTTCTCTTTAGGTGTAGCCTTTGCCGGGGCTGCGCTACTTGGGGCCTTGAAGAGCAAGAATATCAGTCCGGCAGCCAGTCCCCCGATGGGCAGATTGACGTAGAAGCACTATTAAGTGGTTAGTTATAGCACTAATACTTCAATGCCTCTCTTCTTACCCAGCGCCATGACACTTTGTCAGTGAAAGCACCGCCGATAAGCGGTCCCAAGACCGCGGCGATGCCATAGGTTGCTCCAGTAAAGCCCAAAAGTTGTGGGCGTTTCTCAGGAGGTGCAGCGAACCCGATAATCGTGAAAACTCCCACGCCAACTCCAGCTCCGCCGAAGCCAGCGATAGCTCTGCCGACTATAAGGGTTGTAGGGTCTTGAGCCACGGCGCAGATGAGACTGCCCACTTCAAAAATGAACACAGCAACAAGAAACCAAAGCTTGATCGGAAAGTACTTGAAAAACTTTCCCCAGGTTGATTGGAAGGCTTTAATAATTAGCTATTTCGTAATGACCATGTATCTGAGCATTCGTAGATGGAAAGGAAAGAGGTGCTCTGCGTAAAAGGTTAATATGCCATCTAGAAACGAATTTGTCCATATAACTAACCACAGCCATATGTCATCAAATAGGCTGACCCGTACCACGACACTTTGTTCAGGTCATGGAATTCGTCCGTTATCTTGGGAATGGCCGTGCCGAGGATGGTCTGCTGATAGCCTTGATTAGCTGTGTGGTGCATCGCGAAACAGGGGACTGACGTTGTCAAGTGCTACCAAAAACATTCCCAGCATGAGTGAAAGCACAACAGCAACCAGGCGGGCACCATGCGGATATTCATCAGTTGCATGGGCTTTTGCGTCGTCGTTGGTGACATGAATGCCGCCTGACTCTGAGATGATGGCTTGTTTGTCCATTGTTGAACAAGTTTGCAAAACGGTGATATGACAATATTAAAGATTGCCCCTTTCCATATTACGAAAGAAATAGTCTGTTTATATAGGTTCCGGACGGACTCCAGCCGCAACAAACAAACTCAGGCCTACATGCCACATCTCCGAGTTACTCAAGGTGTGTCACTAGTTCGGCCGAATCAAGCTCGGCCCCGTTCAATCTTCTAAAATGCCCGGAAGGAGATGTACCTGATCAGTCGTATTCATACATTGTGTTACTCTGAAGGACAGAGAGTCAAACTCTTTTAAGACAAACAATATCTTCAAGATACCGCGAACAGCAGAATAAATATGCATTTCTTGCGAGTTGCACGTTCCCTTAAGCGTGTGCATATCTCGGCTGAATCGTCCGAATCGTCCGAAGGCGGTTCGGACGATTATCCATTTGTCAGCAGGGAGGTACATCTAACTAACTAGTTACCCAGGGGCAACCACACCGAAAAGCGCCTCGGACATCTCCAGTACGAATCATTTCGGCCCAAACTTCTTGATAGCGTATCAACACATTTCTGCACTCGGACAAAGGCTAGACTCTCTTGCTACGGTCACAGCTTGCGACAGCTTACGCACCAAATGGTGGCTCCCTCGGACGAACCCGCACCGAAGCGCAGAAAGGTTCGCAAAGGTACACACAGCTGCTGGGAGTGTAGGCAGAGAAAAGTCAAGTGTACCTTTTCATCACTAGATGGCGCGATCTGCATCACTTGCCATCGTCGAGGCACGAAATGCACCAGTCAAGTAATCTTGAACAGACCAGAAATGGCTGAGAGCGACACAGGAGATAGTGGGCAAGACGCTGCTATTAATACACGGCTAGTGGGCGAGAGTGGTGTCCGTTCTCGATCAGATGCCACTGTTGGATGTTTACCATCAACTCCCCTTTCAATTCACCGAACACCAGCATCGTCATTGCATGGCATAGTTAGTCAGCATCTTCACATAGTTACACAGCTATATACTAATGGCATATAAAAGGAAAAGAATTTATCGAGTCGCCTACAGACTACTCAAGAATCATCAAGCCAACTCCCGACACCTCAGTTGCCACCAGCCCCAGTGTCTAGTCATGGCTCCATTTCGGAGGTTTCCGCATATCCCAGCATCACTCAAGCCCTACGAAGTTCTCTCCCTCCTCGGAAAGATATTGAAATCCTCATCGAAAGACTCAGCAGTATGTCAATCTTTTGCTACAAATCTAGCTTTGAACTATGCAGCTCGTGGCCAAGCGAAAAAGCCCAAGAACAAATACCAACAACCAATCTCCTATATTCGGAAAGCCACCCAATCTTGTTGGCAAGGCAAATGCTGCTTTTCGTAGTAGGGTTGCAACATCTGTCTCCCACAAAAGCTATACCTGGCCTCACCAAGCATCATCGCGCTATTATGGAGCAGCTAGCAGACTCCGTCATCAATCTAGTAAATACGAATGACGTCTTGCTTGGCACATTGGAGGCTCTCGAGAACCTCATTCTTGAAGGCTTCTATCACATAGATCGCGGCAACATCCGACGAGCCTGGATCACAATGCGCCGTGCTGTCATGACAGCACAGCTATTGGGCTTGCATCGACCAGGCCACTATCGCTTCAAAGTCGTCAACCAGCAAAGCGATCTTGATCCTGCGGCCATGTGGGCCTGTGTGGTTTCCACGGAACAATTTCTGTGCTTGCTACTGGGTCTGCCCACAAGCACCAGCGGTACGAGTTTCGCAATCCCCAGGGTTGAGAGCGGCAACTTGCCTATATTCGTTCCAGATATGGTACCCAAAATTATCGAACGTAATCAGAAGAATTCACCCCAAGAAGCACTTGATATGACTCAAGAGATGGATCAAGAACTATTGAGGGCCATTGAGCAATGGCCTCCTGCGTTCTGGCGGCCATTGCAATTCGCGGGTCTCGAAGTAGACTCGGCGGAGGCCTTCTGGGAAACTCGACGAGCTTGGGACCATGTGTTTTATTACTCTTTGGTGAACCAGCTCCATCTGCCATATATGCTAAACCCAAGACATGCCTCGCAGAGGGTGTACTCGAGAATCGCCTGTGCAAGCGCCAGTCGTGAGATTTTGAGCCGACAGATCGCGATCCGTACGTTCAACCCAGTCACGGCCGGCTGTCGGATGGGCGATTTTATAGCTCTGATTGCTGGTATGACACTGATGCTGGCTCACATCTTGAGCCACTGTAACAAGGGCACGGAAAACCTACTTGTACACCACCGAGTTGGAGATCGGGCGACAGTGGAACGGGCTCTCGAGTGTATGGAATCCGTGTCGGAGCTACATGAGGATGTCCTCACAGCGAAATGTGCTGCCCTTCTTAAGCATTTGTTGGATATTGAAGCGGGGCCTGCACAGAAGTACTCGGATGTCGGTGAAGAAAACGACCAAAACGTGTTGGTAGTGAAGGTGCCGTACGTTGGTGCCATCAGAATTGCGCGAGACAGTATTTCTATTACGCCCTTCGACGCAGAGCAGGAGCAGGTTCCCCATGAGGGCGTGACAATTGGTGGCTTTGGGTCTATCCATGTCAGAACACCACAAGTCTCCAACCATCATACACCTACTGATGTAGTCGCACCCGATGCTGCAGCCTCACGAGGAACCGCGCAGGCAGTGGAGGCATCTTCAGCACGGAAGCATGGGGGGCAGGTTTCCCAGGCCGCGTCTGGAGATGTTTTCACACTGCCAGAAGATGCATTCCCGGATGCTTCTGCTGGCATGGAAGAATGGCTTTTCCAAGGACTTGACACTGCCTTCTTTGATATGCTGATGAGCGGAGCTAGGGAGCCGCTAAATGGTACTGACACTGAAGGATGGAATTTTACAATTTCCCCATGAATAATGATAACTGATAAAACTCTAGGAGCTTTCCTCATTTGCTTGGTGTGAATATTGATTCTCAGAGTCTTAATATAGGCTAATCTACAAGGCAAATGTCGTCTTTGTCATGTCACCTAAGATTGTGCAAAGTACTATAATGTCTATATTAGTTAGAAAGGCCATCTATCCTTATATCTGCAAGTTTAACCCCTTTTTCCAATTTTCTTTTCCAACTTTCAATCAGACGTCTATACCCTCTGTAATTCTTTATCAAAGATACTGGACTTTGAATGAAGAGCAATTATAAGGAATTCTTGAGAAATTCAAAGGCGCCGGTCTACACTACATGGATAGAAGGGCGAGAATTAGGGTACGAGTAAGCCTGTATGGCGTCAATAGTCTGCCGAGGTCGTCATTCGCGTGTTTGATGACGCTAATTGCGTTGAAGGGGGCCTGACATGTCGGCATTTGTGATAATTGACCAAATTCCAGACTTTACCAAACTACGATCCCGCATGTTGGTGTTCTATTGTCTGTTTTCTCTTTGTCTTTCCATGAGATAAGTTCTGGAGAAAAACTGATTTTGGGAATTTAGGGGCAGAGCGCACACTTTTGCTACGTTGCAGCATCTATCTGCAACAGATTCTACTCCTCAATGGCGTGATATATAAGGATATGAGGACTCCCCAAAACGGGATGAATGACCTATGATAAGTAATTGTTTACTTTAGCTTAGCGCACTTAGCATCCCATTCAAGCGATGCAAACGAGTTAGCTGGAGTGCTCGGCTAATGCCCCAATCTATCTGTTGGGGATTCTGAGGCTATATAACAGACAACTCTGGTTAACACGTTAGTATTTTTCAAGGTTCAATCACTGTCTGTCTAGATGGCTGGCTTGTCATCTCCGGTTCAAACAAAGGCCGATGCGTCAAAACAAGCATCTGTTATCACCCAAGTGCAAGACAGCGATGAACCCCATCGTGATATTTCTGGTGACGTGATCGAGGATGGCCTACGAAGAGGGCTTAAGGGTCGTCAATTTATGATCATTGCCCTAGGGAGTATTATCGGACCAGGTTGCTTTTATGGCTTAGGCTATGGAATCTACGAAGCTGGCCCATTGGGGCTCTTGATTGGATTTTCTATTGTGGGTGAGTTGTTTGCCATCATAAATACATTCCAATGTTTTCACTAGGTTGACAGAACCTATAGGAGCCTCGGTGTGGATTTTGATGCAAAGTGTTGGAGAGATTGCTACACTTTTTCCAGTTCATGGTGGCTTTGTTGAGGTATATGAAATATCAGCTAATGCTAATCTCAACCATCTGAACATCTTGCTAACCTCTTTTATACAGCACTGTGATCGATTCGTGGATCCAGCCTTCAGCTTTGCCGTATCTTGGCTTTATTATTTCATGTGGAGTGTATTTCTAGCATCGGGTGAGTGTCATCAACAAGCAAGAAATGATATTCACACTAATAGAGTCAAAAAGATTGGAATAACGCCACGGTCTTCCTTCAATTCTGGATTCCCGATACCATTATCCCTGTTTGGGCTTGGTACATCTTGTTCTTCGTCTTCTTCTAGATTTTAACAACCCTTGGGGTGAATTTCTATGGAGAGACTGAATACTATTTCGGCATGTTCAAGTTCCTGTCGCTGATCGTGCTGTTCTTCATTTCGATTCTTGCCGATACTGGTGCGTTCGGGAATGGGTATGTCGGATTCACATACTGGAAAGAACCTTATGGTGAGTATTCTTGCACTGGATAAATCCCAAGGGAATTGACTCGCGAGTCTGACATTCTGTTAGGTCCAATCCGAAATGGAATCAACGGATTCGGCCAAGTATTTGTTCTGGCCGCCGCATACTATGTTGGAACTGAAATTGTTTCTGTCGCCGCGGGCGAGTCTAGAAACCCTCAACGCGATGTTCCTCGTGTGAGTATATCGGGTGAAAATGTGGCCTTTAGCGTAAGTTTGACACTGATTTTTGTTTAGGCCACCAATTCTATCCTCTACCGTATCCTGTTCGTCTTCATTGGTATGTCATTTTTTCAAGGCCTGATCTGTCCCTCAACATCGGATGATCTGGTGCATCCAGCCTCTAAAACGGCATCGTCTCCGTTCACTATTGGCTTTATACTTGCTGGATGGAAGTCCTCCGGACATTTTGTCAACTCCATCATCCTCATTGCCTTCATTTCCGCTGCGAATGGAGTTATTTACATCCAATCACGAACGCTCTACTCTCTCGCTTTGAAACGAAAAGCGCCCTCATTCTTCGCAATAACAAATGCTAGGGGAGGTCAGCTAATTTTTCCCTTTATTCCCCCTCTGATAGAAGCTGATACCGTGTCCAGTCCTATACCCGGCAATCATCTTCTCAAATATGTGGGGCTTCTTAGGTCTGATGTCCTTGCAAACAACAGCTGGGAGCCTCTTTTCCTATTTCACCTCCTTTGGCGGGACAGCAGCTTATATTGCTTGGGCTGCTATCACATTTGTCCAGCTTAGGGTTCGCGCTGCCGCAAAGAAGCAAGGTATTGACGTTAAATCATTCCCTTTCAAAGCGCCGGGTCACATTTTGATCTACTGGAGCAACTTCTTTTTCAATATTTTCCTGCTCTTGATTCAAGGTTTCACGGTATTCGAGGCGCCTTTCAACTATAAGTCGTTTATCGCTTCATATATTAGCATTCCGGTGTTTTTCCTGATGTTCGTTGGGTACAAATGGTGGTTCAAGAGTAAATGGTCAGTCATTCCCGCTTCATACCAAAATAACAGTCGATACTTACATTCAAATTTTCCTTCAGGGTATCATTGGATCAAATTCACTTCCCTGATAGACTAACATGGTCCTCTGAAGATCCGGACAAGACAAGAAAAAGATCATGGGGCAGAAGGCTATTGGAAATTTTGAAAGAATAGCTGTTTCAGATTCATTATCACGATACGTAAGCAAGGCAAGAAGGAGGAAAACTCCCAGTCATTCATTTTAGGGGTTCCCAATCTGGAGTTTCAAGTCTATACCAGTGTTTTATCAACATGCCATGTCGCAGGCCAGCCTGACATCAAGGTTCGTTTAACTCTACCCGAGATTAACTCTACCCGAGATAGACTAGGAATGTATGTCGAAAAGCTATTTCATGATACAAGCAATCCTACCGGAGATCTGGACTCCTACTCATACAATTTCCTCTTTTCAAATACATACTCTTTGGCAACTCTTCCGATGTAGATTGCCTTTAAGAATAAACCAAGTTAGGCGCAGTGTTTATTGGCAACAATTTGGGAGCAGTAGAGGCGAAAATAACCTGAAGTCTGGAATGGAGTTCAAAAGCAGCATTATCCTCATGAGTTCTTGCTCCGGATATCCATTGATGATAGCATGGAAAGGGGTTATCAACATGGCATTGAACCAATTTTAGCCTTCCTGTGCCCAGTTGTCCCCAGGTTTGACTGATCCTTGAGTGACTCCAAAGCTAGAAGAGGAGTCATGTCCTGGTAGTTAGCAGCGGTAGGGGCGTTGTGTTTGTAGGGATCAGATCCTCCATAGGGCGCTCCAAGGCCCAAGCAGCCGCATTTGTAGCACATAAACCGGTCCCGCCTCACCCGGTATTGTCCTTTACGGTGGCTTGGACCTCGGCGAGATCCGGCAGAGGTGCCAGAGCCCCAGTAAGGCTTTTCCATTGAAAGCACTTAGTTTGTAGGAAAATAACCTTATGTCTAGAAGCCATATCTGTCCGGAGTAATTACCATTTCCAGTCACTGCTATCAAGATACCAGCCCAGCCTATCAGATGGCTTCTCCAATCCCCAACATGCGTAGGTAACGTCCGATAATGGTTCAGGCTTGATCATCACAGGATCACAGAATCCAGAAATATGCCTGGGGAGAATTAGCTCATTGCGATTGGTATGTGTAGACTGGCGACAGGAATGGAACACAATAACCACCTACATGACCTTAGTGATATCGTTGTAAATGAGCGTCCCTACGTGGATAAGCGCAGGTTTCCACACGTCGAGTACTTCCAAGGTTTCGAGAGATTTCATGAGCAAGGATATCCAGGGGAACTGCCTGCAAAGATCGAGGCAAAGTGATGACGGTATATCATTAAACTCACTCAGCAATTGAATATTACATAAGAGACTAAGCTGGTAGGCTAGCAATTCTCTGCATAGGCCCCTGTGGCATGATCCTCACAGTCCGACTCGCAGTCCGTCTCACAGCCTACAGAGTGGCGCCGCAGAGAAAGCAACCCCTGTGCATCGAGATGGTCCAGCCAGCTGGCATACCAATCCAAGAATTCTGGAATAGAATCAAAGCGTGCCTTCCAGCCGTACAGAACGCTAGGATTGATAACCTCGGCCTGGAAGAGAACCACCCGCCACCCCCAGTCTCGGATATTGGCAGCATCCTGGATGTCTTCGCCCTTGTGCTTGCCATCCTCCTCGTCGTCTTACGTTTCGAGCCGGCAATACACTACGCACTATACCACGATGGGGATTGGTACAGTTGGTTAAATCCAATACCGGTGATAAATCCAGCTCTGGATATCCAAACCGCCGATATACCAATAGCGGCTACGTTCTGCCGTCGCCGCCCAGCAGAACTGCTGGGATCCCACATCTTAAAGCTATTTTTATCGTACATGCACGTCATTAATTACACCACTCACGTTAATCTGAGTCAGAGCATCAGTTAAAATGACGAAACGTCAAAAGAAAGGACGGAAATGTCACGATCTACGCGATCACATGCTTTGTCACATGTATGTTTGCTTTACATTCGTTTGCATGTTTCCTTTGTTTGCTTCTTACATTCGTTTGCTTTCTTTCCTTTGTTCTACATATTGCCACTATTCCTAATCGGGCAATTGCTACTAAGCCTAATTAGGAAAGATGATTGTTTGCTGCAGAGAGATCTCTAGTATAAGAAACCCCACAGATCTCTCTCTCTCTCTCTCTCTCTTTCTTCTTTAGCTTTGTTATTCTAGTTGGAATGCACTCTTTCTTCATTGATCGACCTGGCATGTAACAGGAAATCCCGTCCTCCATTAACCCCAACGAATAAACCCACTAGCCGTGACCCTCTTAGCCAAATTGTACCGCAGTCGATCCCCGCATTGCAGCGAGCTTTACCACCCGAGGCAAGTCGCCACATTTGAGTAATAGTATCATATTCGCTAATTAGACTTGGGCCAAGCCAATTACACTCTATCAGGGCTTACGAGCGAAGACTCAGTTGCAACAATGCGACAAGCATTATCACCAGATCCGGTCGTGTTTGACGACAGTCGCCAAGCATGCGTGAACATTGAGGGAACTACCCTTCTAGCAACGCTTGAGACTCTATCACAGGCTGTCCAAGACCTCCAGAAAAGGGCTGAGGCCCAAGAGAAGGAAATCCGAGATGAGAAAAAGAGCCTCGAGAACACAAAAAAGTGGCCTCGGGAACACATAGAACAATGTGGAGGCTAAAAGCAATGACCTCGAAGAGGTCCAAAAAGTCCTTACAAAATATGAGCGGACATTCGATGCCTATATAATGGAGGTGCGGTCAATTGTGCTGGACAAATGGGCTGGGAAGACTATCAGCAACACTAGAAAGTCTCAGCGGAACGCTGCTGTTCATGGAGGTAGCATCCTTGCCGACTATGATGTGATCCTCCGGGAGGTTGACCAGTTAGACTCGAGGGTGGACCAGTGGAAGCCGGCGTTTGAATTTCACTATAATGTGTGGTGGGAGTTTCTTTGTGCCCGTGGAGGGCTTGATTCAGCTAGCAAAGAGCTGATTCGGATCTTTGATTATCTTGCGAATATTAGATCGCTTAAGAAATGGGAGGACTGGAAAATTCAGTCCAACCCCAACACATCTTCTAAGAAGATGAAAGATCGTGCTAAAATTGTTGAAATCTGTACCAGCTGGATCGATAAGTGGGTGGGTGATACCATGGACACCATCCCGACAAAGGCTCAGATGGAGAGACTACGACAGCTCTCCCACCAGGCGTAGGGGCGACACCGTCACCCTCCCACTACTACTCACCGTTTCCTCTTGCTTATCTCTATCATTACGCAATTGTTGTTATTATATTGTTATTGTTGAATTTTTTAACGTCTGGCGGAGCGAAAGCGGAGATATATTACCCTATCTACCTCACTCCTTAACCTCTTGAGGGGTATAGGGTTAGCTATTATAGTATAGAATTTATAAATGTCTAGATCTTTAACTTACGGGCACTTTATATTACTATATATTCTTAATCGATCTCCGTCGTTTATATTAGCTGTTAGTATTTGAAGGAATTCTTTTAGATTCCCTCTATCGGACATATTGACGGCTATAGTGTATATGCTAAGATGTCGAGTGTTTCAGGTGGATGGGTATAATCTAACCACATTCTGTTGTTATTCATCTAAGGGGGTTAGTGCGTTGGTCGCGACGGTGGAAAGGGCTGATCGGCCACTTTCCTAGTTTTTGTATTTCCTGTTGGAAACCTGCTAATAAATTGCGCTCCGTAACTTTCAGGCTAGACGTTATGGCTATTGCTTCGTATTCGAAACCTACGGTATCTTCATTACAAAAGATTAACTTCCTGCTGGGTGAGTCCTGATATACGTGGAGTTTTGATGTAATACCTGAATCACCCGAGTCGCGCGATCGCCGTTTGTGTTACTCTAGCCGAACGGATACATGAAATGATTGGCCAGAGTACCTGCCAAGCTTCAACGTTTATTATGTCAAAGTGGTGATAGCATTTGCTTCCTACGTACTTCGACTAGGAATGAAATTGAAAGAGTTCAGGAAGCAGCAGTTTGTGCAATCATATTAAATTGTAGCTCAGTTGGGAGGGTCAATGCGGTAGTCGCGCGACTTGGGTGATTCTCACCCTGATTCGCACCCTATCTATAGCCCACTTACCCTTCTTACTCCGCGACGCTCTCCTTTCCATGACCTATTTATCTGCATGTTATATGCCTCTTCCACACATAACATGATACATACGACCATAGGGTGTGGAAAACAGGGCTTCCCGTCCGCTCAGCCGTACTTAAGCCACACGCCGGTGAGTTAGTAGTTGGGTGGGTGACCACCAGCGAATCCTCACTGTTGTATGTTTTTTGTGTTTTTATGTTTTATGTTCTTTGGAAAGCCCCTCTTGCCGTCCTACTCCTCAGCCCCTTCACCCTATTCACCTGAATGCCCTGAACACCACTATTCTACACCTGAGTATCCTACACGCCCCCGAGCCGCTGACGTGTCCTTCCCCTCCCATGCTGACTTTTTCTCAGGCGTATTAATATGGGGCCGAGCATGGAGTAGATCATAGAAGTACTATATGGCTGGGGTGGTTCAGGCTATGTTTTTTACTATGGCGATACCATAATAAATGACACCTAGGCTGAAAAATGGGTGCTGCAGTCTATAATTAGGTTAGACTACTGTCCCAGTAGTGAAATCGCTGTCTTAGCAGTATCTTACGGAATTTTATTCGGAAGCCTCTGGTTTTTCAATATATGTGTTAAAAGACAAGACTTCAGCCACTATATGATCGGCGTTGCTACTTCCATTTATGGAAATAGCTATTCATGGTGACGGAAAGCTGGTGTACGAACAATGTATGGTATAAATGACCAATGTTGACAACTCTAACTAACTAAAATGACAAAACCCGCTATTTCAACAATCTGTGCGGACCATGATGACTAACTGTAATATGCACTTTTGTATGGTATGCCTGGTACCCAATGTCACATGATGTTTCCGGTATATTACCTGGTTTCTACCATGTATTCGGACTTGGTATTCGACACACCCCCCAGTTCTTAAAGCCTGCATTTCCTGGCTTCAAGAGCTATCAATTCCTTCATTTCTGAGCCTTCCAATGGCTTCAATTCCATCAATTTCTGCACTCTCTTTAAGCAGTCTCTATTTCTCGGATTAGATGACTGATCTCTCTTATCCCAATCAGCTCTCTAAAGAGATGCTGCTTCTGTCTCGGAAGCGCTTTCGTAAGGCTATCTGCTAGTATAGCCGTAGTTGGAACCCAGTCAATATTGACTCGACCCTCGCTAACCTCCTATCTTATCTAGCAACGATTAATATCAATATATCGGAGCTTCGTATGCATCGCCGCCCCTTCCTTTGTTAACAAATCGACGGTTTGCTGGTTGTTATATATAATGGATAGTGGGTGGTTAGGTTAGAAGCCTAATATAGAGAGGACTCGACGCTACTACTGTACGGTTTTGCCTACCTCGGCTAGAGCTAGTAGCTCTGCCTCTGTAGTCGATGTGGTCACCGTCTTCTGCTTAGTTGCTTTCTAATCTATAGGGCCCCTATATAGCTTGCAAATATAACCCTCGGAGCTTTTCCTATCCTTATTGTCTCTAAACGATATATCGCTTGCAAATTCAATTGATTTTGCAGCTAGCTAGAGACCGTGGTTTTTGTTATATTGATCTTGACGATCTGTCTCTCTAGAACCATACTCGATGGCCTAGTACCTAGTCTCGTATAGGTATTGTATGACTCGGTCGATAGCATCAATATACTTAGGACCGGGATTGGTTAGGAACTTAGCTAGTTTAGCTATAGCTTTTGCAGTATCTAGCCGGGTGATGGTAGTGGTATATTAAGTAGATCCTATCTTGGCCTAGAAACCATGAATCTGACTCGGTGACGCCACTCTATCGTACGGAATCAATTGATCGATAGCTAGTAGAGATCCTACTTTCCTTATAGTGATTAAATTATACCTCGCTGCTATACTTTTAATATAGCTATCCTAGTATAACTAAAGCTTCTTTTATTCCCTATCTCTAAGAATTCGTATATTTAAGAACTAGCTTATATCTAGTTTACGTAATTCCTATTACTTCTTGATCTCTCTATCTAGCTAAGCTACTTGCTCTATATAGTAAGGATCTAGATGATTCACAATGATGATATCGTCGATATAAAAGAAAACGATGATACCGGTGGTAATGAAGATATATAGATCTTCCGGTACTAGGGTAAGGCCTAGTTTTACTAGTACCCTAGTTACTTCTTACTGCTATAGTCTTAGTGATATACGTAATCTATATAGCGCTCTATAGAATAGCTAGTATTGATTTAATGCTTCGAATCCTAGAGGGCACTTTGTATATACCTTACTTTATAGCACTAAGTTTAGAAATATAGTGACTATATCTCTCTATATTATATCTAGATCGAATGCAGCTACTAATACAAAGATAGCCCTCGCTGTCTTAACAGCTAGTGTTATGGCTCTCTTTTCCTCTATAGACAACTATTAAAGATCTCTATGAATATAGATTCTTACTTTGAACTTCTCTAGTATACTATTAGCATCGAATTTGTATATAAATACCTACTTTAGTAGTAGTACCTATATACCTCGCTTATTCGGAATTAGAATCTAGGAGAATGTCTCCTTTTTCCTTAATGTCTCGACCTTGAATATAGCCGCTGTTTTAAACTACTCGGCGAATCGATAGGTCTTTAATTGATTCTAGGTCTCTGGCGGCGGTAGTAGGTCATCTCGATGTGGCTTAATATCGAACCGCTTGTTTATATCTGTAGTAAATGTATATAGTAAGCTTAGTGGCTCTATCTAGTTAGTATCGTTAAGAGATAGATATACAGTATAATCTGGATCTAACCTTGGTTTCCTAGATCTAGTGCCGGTAATGATATTTGACATATCGATATCACCCACTATGTCTCTTGGTGCTCGATCTAAACTTGCTTGGGACGACGTTTCTCGCTAAAATAGTGGTTCTGGGGTCGGCGAGTACGCCATTTCTTACTGTAGTTAACGCTCTATCTTAGTATCTTTATCTGTCTCCTCCCCCCTAGTTTCGATCGACGGTATTACGGAAATCGGATCTAGCGACGATGGGATGGTTTCTCGGGGTGCTGGATTCGATGGATTTAGAGATGTTAATGCTATTCTAGATAGTAGTAGTAGGGAGGATAGAAAGCTGCCAAGCAGGTCATCTATTTGCTCCCTCGGTCCTATCTAGACCTATAGTCCTATCTAGTCCCTTAGTCCTATCTGTATTAATATTTGCTCCCTTAGTCTAGTAATAGACTGTGGGGTAGGCAAGCTAGTTACTAGCTTGATATCTGTATATACTAGAGTTCTCTCTTTAGCAACTATCTCTCTAGCTGCTTAGCTAGCTATTTTATCATCTATTTTATCAACTATATCGACAGCTGTATCAGCTGCATTAGTTTTATCGACAGGTGTATTAGCTGTATCAGCTACATCGATAGGTATATTGATAGCTGTATTGGCAGCTATCTGGCCTTGCTCGGTAAGCTTAGTTTTATCATCTAGAGCTATCCTTGCTATCGATCTAGGCATTTGCATCTATATACTAAGCTCAGCCTGCGCTTCTTCTATAGTAAGCACAGCTAGCTATATACTTAGTGCTAGTCTATCTATTATAGTACTAATTGTATTCTCTTGCTTAGGTAGGGGTCTCGATTTCGAATACTATCTCGTCTCGTCGAATATAGTATCTCGAACGACGTCTACCCTCCCTATACCGCTAGTACGTCCCTTATAAGGGAACCATACTTTGTATAGGTTCTTAGAGATATACCTAACGAGATATCCTATCTCTGCTCTAGGTAATATCTTATCTAACTAGGTCCTTTTAATGATTCTCGAGTACGTTAAGTACCTATATAACCTTATATTCGATAGGTTAATCATCTAATGTTAGATCCCGTCTGGTATAGTATATTTTATCAATTCCTTCTAAGGTATAATCTATTAGCTACTGATTTCACTAGGTTTAATAACCTTAGTAGGGGTCCTATTTAGGATATATGTCGCTATATATATTGCCTCTAGCTATAGAGTATGGGGTAGCTCTATATCGTTAATTAACGCTCTAGCAGTACGTACTACTATCCCCTTAGATCTCTCGGCTAGACTATTTATTTCTAGTAAGCTAGGTAGTGAATACTTAATAGTATATCCCTCTACCTCTATC